GCCCAACTAGTATGGTATGATGATTTTATAATCGAAACAATAGCAAGGCGTATTTCAAATATCTCATTTGAACCACTAGAATAAAATTGATTTAAATTCAATATTGTTTGTGGGATTAGTAAATATTGTTTTGTTTATTGTTAAATTAAATATTAAATTAATTACATTTTAAAATTAAATCTAATATTTTTTCTAGCATGGCAAGTAGTTTTTTTCGTGATGTAATCAATCTACACGGAGACGATGATGGTTTCAAAGACTACGCCAAAACTAGATTAAGCTTTTTTGCGGAACATTATATGAGAATCGCGGAGGAGTGGGAGGTTGAGAGCCAAGTTAAAGACGCGTGCGTTGCTTACAAAGCGAATTACCCGCAACCAAAATATAAATCGTTCACGATGCAGTTGATTAAAATAATACATACCCATGGCAAGCTAATTGCTAATCCTGCTAGAATTTTAAAACGAGGTCTTTCACCTGACCCGAGAAGATGGTGGGATGCCGCGTTTATGATACCGACGCCACTTGATTTACTTGCCAAAATACCACTGCCTGGCGGTATGAGCGGCGGTCTGGCCAGCGCTATCGGCAGTTTTGGCGGTATCGGTATACCCGGTATGTCGGTCGCCAGTCAAGGCTTTGGTATGTTTTCGAAAATGATACCCGGCATGGACTCCGCTAAAAACATGTTTAGTGGCTTAGCTGGGTCATCGACTAAAACATCAACCTCTGATTCATCGTCCAGTAAAGACTATTTAAGTTCATTGACCAATAGTAGAGACAGTTCAAACAATAGAGATCGATACGGTTCAAACGATAGAGATCGATACGGTTCAAACGATAGAGACCGATACAGTTCAAGCGATAGAGACCGATACAGTTCAAGCGATAGAGACCGATACGGTTCAAACGATAGAGACCGATACGGTTCAAACGATAGAGACCGATACGGTTCAAACGATAGAGACCGATACGGTTCGTCCGATAGAAACCGATACGACTCGACCAGTAAAGACACCCGATATGAGTCTACTTCCAGAAGAAACAACCAAGATTCATCGTCCAATAGAGACCAGCAAGAGTGGATGCAAAGTAAACAATACCAAGATTGGTTGGCCAGTAAAAACCAAGGCAACCAAGATTCGTACAATCAAAACAACCAAAACAATCAAAACAAACGTGATGCTTTGTCCAAAGACTCATACGAATCGTGGTCCAATAAACCTACGTATGATCCCAATACCGGCATAACTCGCGTCGAAAGTTTTAAAAGAGAGACCCACGTAGAAACTGTAAACAACCAGGGTTATGGGTCCAGCGCTTCCAACTATGGTGGACAGCAAAGTAGATTCCCCTCGGGTTCACCGCCCGCTGGTTCCAACTATGGCGCCCCGTCCGGCGGATACAACCCTAGTTCACAGTCCGGCGGATACAACCCTAGTTCACAGTCCGGCGGATACAACCCTAGTTCACAGTCACAGTCCGGTGGATACAACCCGAGTGCACAGTCCGGTGGATACAACCCTAGTGCACAGCCTAGCAATACAAACTATGGCGCGCCTTCCGGTGGAAACAGCCCTAATTCACCGCCCGGTGGATACAACTCGAGTCCATTTCCTGCCAGTCCTATGTCGCCGCCCCTTCCAAACAACTAGGATTTGTCGTCCAAAGTTTTTCTTTCCGGGCATGTTGTATTTATTAACCACATATTTTCTAAACAAAATGTAAAATTATTATGCCTTCGGATAACTAAACCTATTTTATTAATAAAACAATTTAAATTATTTTTAATTATGAATCAATAATTTTTTTGTCGATGACTCTAAAATTTTAAAATAGAAGTAAAAATACCATATGTAATAACCTATGTAATTAATAAATTAGAACTGCAAATATATAGCTCTGTTATCAGCTGCGTAATCATTAGTTGCGTGACATAAATAGGCTGGCCATCTGTCCACAATTTAACTAGACATTTCATAATTTTAAGCTTTAGTTTAGTAGAACCATAGACCCAATAGTTAACATTAAATTGTTCACTATTTTATTAAATACTGTAATTGACAAAGTTAAAAATCATAGCTTTTAGTGCTTAGATGGCATAAAATATTTCGAGTATTAAAAGTGTTGGTTGTCTTACAATCTAATCGTTACATTTCAATTATAAAAGTGTATATATTGTTGGTCCTAGTTGGTAAGTAAATAACAATGCAGGTACAAACATGTATAATCATGTGAATAATAATTATTGTTTCTAATATTACTTTTAGGTGCGATATACTGTGAAATGGATGTGACCGATGAGTTATTAGAACAAACTGTCTTTCCCTACGAAAACTTTGGTAATGGAGTGCGAAATGCAGACAATTTGGAGCAAATCAGACACGACTGTAGTGTACAGGGCTTTCGTCTCAATCCTGTCAGCAAATCGTAAGTATTGTTATATTTAAATGAATATAATAAATGGCGTCAGGAATTATAAATTAATTAAATCTTGCTAAAAACGCACCTGTATTCATTAAAATTAATTAAAACTTAATTGCCATTTATGCTATGAATTTTAAGTTAAATTGAATGTTTATAGATTAATATTGCTGTGTTTTGACTATTCTATTGATTAATATCAATATTATCCTAATCATATTGAAACTGAATGTAAATTTATAATTAAATATTCTCTCAAATTATTGTTCAGATCTGTAGAATATTAGGATAATAAAGCCAAAGGTAGGAGCAAAATATTTAAAGTTTTACACTCACAAAAATAATAGTGTATTAAAACTAATTATAAAATTACATTTATTTCGTATATTTTGTGACATTTTAATAAAGTTTTGGTCTCAAATAGTTGTTGTAATATTTGATAATTGATTTAATTAAGCCTTATAATAAATGTCAATTAAATGCAAATTAAAAAAAAGTAACTATGTCCAACTGATTGTGTTTACAGTCACAAAGATTTTGTCGTGGCTACCTCGTATATTCTTCACGTAACAACGCGCGCAGTGGTGATGCCTGAATCGAGTTTTATGACTTTCTCGGTTATTATTGCAATATTACCGAGAGTCAACAACTCACATACGCACAAATTACAAATAGTAAATTGAGAGAGTTTAAAGAAATACGAGACCGTTTCATGGGTTATCTCAACGAGGTGCTTAATTCGGACAGAGTGGACTGGGCACAACTTGTATGGTATGAATAGTTTATAATTAATTTAATATTACAATTATAGCATATGTAAATTGTAGCGCTTGTGTATTCATATCAGGCAAACAGTAGTTTATATATTGTGGCAAATGTTATTGGGTCTAATTTAAATGAATGGCATTTTATTAAAAGGTTACTTAACATAAATAACATCCAATATTTCTTTGTTAAATAATATCAATATATTCTTTATATTTAATATTAGTTTTTGCTTATTGTTGAATTAAATATTAAATTAATTGACTTTTTAAATCAAATCTATTATTACTTCTAGCGTTAATCGTAAATTTTTTGATGATGTAATAAACGTGCATGATGACTATCAGGGTTTCAGGGACTACGTTCGAAAACGAGCAAGTTTTTTTTTACAGAACAGTATAAAAGGATGGCGAAACAACACCACGTTGAGAACCAAATTCCACAAACGTGCGAGATGAAGAAACAGTACCCGCAAAGTAGATTTAAAACATACACAATGTTGTTGATTAAAATATTGGAGAAACATGGTGCCTTATTTGCAAATAAAAAGTTGACAATGGACCCGGACATGGCGTTAAAACTACCATTCTTGTTGCCGACATCACTAGATTTGGCGACAAACGTACCCCTCCCGGGTGGGTCCAATTCAGCCATGTCTAGCATACCTTCCCTTAAAGCTGATAGAGGGGGTGGTAGTTTACCCCTCCCTAGTATACTATTCGGGGGCTCACACTTCTCTGGTTTGTCATTCAATAGAGACAGCCGATATGAATCGATTTTCAATAGAAACTACCAAGATTCATCGTATAATAAAGACTTACCAGAATAATTGTCCAGTAAACAGTACCAAGAATGGTTGGCCGCTAGAAATAACCAAGATGCGTACAATAAAAACAAACACGATGCTTTGTCTGAATCCCAATATGCATCGTGGCCTAATAAACCCACCTATAACGCAAAGACCAGCATTGAGAAGTTTAACAAAAAGACCCGATTGGAAAGCGTAAACGACTCGTGTTCGGGGGCTAGCGCTTCCAACTATGGTGGACCGCAAAGTGGATACCCCTCTGGTTCACCGCATAGCAGTTCCAACTATGAAGTGCCGTTTGGTGGATACAACCCAAGTGCACAGCCCAGCACTTCCAAGTATGGCGGACATAACTAGGATTCGCCGTACAAAGTTTGGCTTTTTGGGCATGTTTTATTTATTAATCATATGTTTTTTGAACAATATTTTAAAATATTATGCCTCCGAATAACTAATCCTGTATTATTCATTAATAAAATTTTTAATGATTTTTGATTATGAATTAATAATTTTTTAATATTCTGTATTAGGCTTTAATTATTAACAACAATTTACTAAGTATCAGAATATTTTATAATTAAACTTTTTATTAGAAATGTTTGCCTTTAACCTACTGATCAACTACTTGGCTGACTTTTTATAAATGACATCTAAAACTCTTCTTAAAAATCAGTCTTAAGAGTCACACTTAAAAAACTCTAGGAATGCCTCAACCAAACCTTTAAGCAACTTTTAGATTAAACAAAACTTCATTTGCGTGTCAAGTGTCCGAGTAATTAATTGTTAAACAGAGGTCACTTTAGAAATCCTGCCAGTATGTCAAACGATTAACTTTTTAAATCCTTAACAAATCAGTGCATTTTTAGTTCAACTGGAGTGGCGCGTCAATCTACACACTATTTGTTCACCTTCACTGCAGTGGCTATTCAGTGGTGTTCACTCTAATATTGAGTGGCGGTGTATAACATTGTATTTATATCACTACTTTAGGATGAATACAGAGGTATGTGTTTGTTTGTGTGCATAATGTGTGTAGTGATATATAGATATACGCATTAGGCCTTCATGGCTGGATTCTCTGCCAATTTTGGCGCTCAATTTATGAGAGCTTCAATCATTGCTTTATATGCAGTAACGCACATACACTGTAGTTACTTATATGAAGTGATATACATTTAAAACATTGTGGCTGACTTTTTAGCCAACATTTTGTGTTCAATGCGAACGCATGTATAGTGTACTCAAACAGTGTACAGGTTTATATGCACAATGAAATCAAATGCTAAATAGATGTTAGGTTTGGCTCAATGCAATGATAGTGAGTTCTCTTTGTTAGTTGTTTGTGGGCTAAGTGCCAGCCATTTATAAACAAATGTATAACAAATCAAGTAAAATTTTTTAACCATAATAACTATAAATAATTAAAACATTGTCAAATCCGATATCCTTAATTAATTAAGGATATCGGATTTGAATTCTATGAAAAATTTATTATATAAATTCATAGTTATTGATTATAATACATTTAATCAAAGTGATAATAATGAGTTGTAAAAACATATTAACTCGACAACAACTCGAGGATCTGCTTAATGATGATAGTGCTAAAGATATTGCTAGTGATGAAGATTGCGAAGAAATAGAAGTCTCAGATCATTCAACAGATACTGAACAAAGAACTGAAAACATTAGTGATGGCAGTGATGATGATTTAATTGTTTCAACAATCAACAAAAACTAAATAACATTAATTTAATTATTTTATATAAATTGGGATATACATAATTAATTAAGGATATCCCAATTTATTAACTATTATTTCATTTCATTATATAATTATTTCTATTTTATGCATAAATAAAACTAGATTGTATGCTAATCAAACATTTTTAATTTTAATAAATGTTCATTAAAATAAAAATTAATTGTTGTTTTTGATTATAAATACATGGATAAACTGTGTTAGTCATTAGCGCCCAATCAGCACTGTTTCAGTATTCTATACATGCATTTTCATTGAACACAAAATGTTGGCTAAAAAGTCTGCCACAAAGCCTTAAATGTATATCACTTTATATCTGTACTATCAGTGTGCGCGCGTCACTGCATATAAGGCTATGATTGAACTCCACATAAATTGAGCGCCAAAGTTGGCAGAGAATCCAGCCATGAATGCCTAATGCGTATAACTATATACCACTGCACACACAAACCTATACAAGCACTACACATTGAGTACTGCTCTCTATCTAACTGCCATCTACACCCCCTGTAAATCAGGCATAACTGCCTTTATTTCTGTTGGCAGGATTTTCAGCCAAGAATGTTATAGTAAGGAGGGGAATAAGTGTGTAATCGCTAGGTTAAAGCCATTGTTGTAAGCGATGTCTAATTTGATCGTTATAAGATGTTAATAGTTTTACAATTTCAATTATTAATTTGGAAAATTTTACATTTTATATTATATTTTTTTAAATTATTTTATTATTATTTTCTTTTTAAAAGTTTACTTATAACTAAATAATTATATTGATTACAAAGGAAATGAAAGAACTAAAGGAATTGCAAAGGGAATGAATTATTAAAAACTTTTATAATTATTTCAATTATGTTAATATATTGTACTGTTCAGTATTTATCATTGCACTAAAATAAATAAAAATTATTATCTAATAATCTTATCTAAGGGTTAACAGAGGTTAACATTGGGCGCATGGAACTGGTATGGGGGGTATGGGGGCGGTTGCGTGGGCTGTATAAAGGGGTGTTGCAAAACAAGTCCGGCATATTGTGTGGGCTCTGGCTGTAGTGGCGCCGGACGCCGATGCGACCCAACCGGCGAGTGTTGCGGTATATGTAACGGTATTTGTTGCTCAAAGTGAACCGGGTTAACCGGCTGCGCTATCAAGGTCATCTGTCCGTGAAAACGT